TCGCCCGGCTAGTTTTTTGCATTTTTAGTAGAGACGGAGCCAGGATGGTCTCGATCTCCTGACCTCGCGATCCGCCCGTCTCGGCCTCCCAGAGTGCTGGGGTTACAGGCTTGAGCCACCGCATCAATGACTTATTTTAACATAATCTACCTCAGTTTCTTCTTGCCTTTTTCTTTTTCCCTTTCCCCTTACCCTTTTCCCTTTTCTGTTCTTTCCTTTTCTTGAGACAAAGTTTTGCTCTGCTGTACTATGTTGTACTCTGCTGTACTATGTAGCTATGTTGCCAAGGCTGTTCTCAAACTCCTGGCTTCGAGCGATCCTCCTGTGTTGGCCTCACAAAGTACTAGGATTATAGGGGGTGAGCCACTGTGCACAGCCCACTTGTCTTGTTCAAGAGTTTAGTTGTAGAGATGATACGTGTTTAAACTGCTTAACGATGTCTAGTGTTCCATTATTGGAACACTAAGCATGTGGGAGTTATTTATATCCTGCTCAAGGTCATTGCCAAGGTACGATTTTTCACACATGTCTGCAGTTCAAATAATTGTAACCTCTGGCATAAATGGGTTAAGGTTTTAGGGGTATATCATGAAAGTTGAGCTATACAGTGTCATGCTTCTCTTGCTAGTGGGACCATGGTGTGTAATGCCACCAAGGACGATTGGTGACAAATCTCTAACCCTGTGGTCTCTTACGTCATATGTTTTGGACGTTATTTCTGTTCTCATTCCTCAGTTCCTCCTCTGGGAGGCCAAGGTGGGAGGATCGTTTGAGGCCAGGAGTTTGAGACCAGCTTGGGCAACATAGCAAGCCAGTGTCTCGATGATGACTACCCCTCATGTTCACACGTACAGGGTTGCATGCTGCTGTCATGTTAGAGCCACATTTGCTATGATTAACCCTGGGGTTCACTCTGGCATTCTCTTAGTTCTACTGAAGGTTTGATTTGCCACTAGTCTTTATTTATCTATTTGGAGACAGAGTCATTTTCTTGTTTGTTTGTTTGAGACAGAGTCTCGCTCTGTTGCCCAGGCTGGAATGCAGTAGTGCAATCTCGGCTCACTGCAACCTGTGCCTCCCGGGTTCAAGCAATTCTCCTGCCTCAGCCTCCTGAGTAGCTGGGATTACAGGCGCGTGCCAGCATGCCTGGCTAATTTTTGTATTTATTTTATTTTACTTTTTTGAGACGGAGTTTCACTCTTGTTGCCCAGGCTAGAGGGCAATGGTGTGATCTCTGCTCACTGCAACCTCAGCCTCCCAGGTTCAAGCGATTCTTCTGCCTCAGCCTCCTGAGTAGCTGGGATTGGGAGCATGGGCCACCATGCCTGGCTAATTTTTTTGTATTTTTAGTAGAGATGGTGTTTTTCCATGTTGGTCAGGCTGGTCTTAAACTCCCAATCTCAGGTGATCTGCCCGCCTTGGCCTCCCAAAGTGCTGGGATTACAGGCGTGAGCCATCATGCTTGGCCAGTTTTTGTATTTTTTAGTAGAGATAGGGTTTTGCCATGTTGGCCAGGCTGGTCTCAAACTCCTGACCTCGTGATCTGCCTGCCTCAGCCTCCCAAAGTGCTAGGATTACAGGCATGAGCCACTGCGCCTGGCCAAGGACACAGAGTCTTGCTCTATCACCCAGGTTGCAGTACAGTGGCATGATATTGGCTCACTGCAATGTCCACCTCCCAGGTTCAAAGCGATTCTCCTGTCTCAGCCTCCTGCGTAGCTGGTATTTCAGGTGTCTGCCGCCACGACCAGCTAATTTTTGTATTTTTAGTAGAGACGGGTTTTCACTATGTTGGCCAGGCTGGTCTCGAACTCCTGACCTCAGGTGATCCGCCCGCCTCAGTCTCCCAAAGTGCTGGGATTATAGGCATGAGCCACCATGCCCCGGCCTGATTATCTAGTTTTCAAATTTATTTTTTTAAAGACATGTTTTACTGTGTTACCCAGGCTGGAGTGCAGTAGGGCAATCTCCATCTTGTTGCAACCTCTGCCTCCTGGGCTCAAGTGATCCTCCTGCCTCAGCCTCCCGAGTAGCTGGGACTATAGGCATGCACCACCATTCCTGGCTTTTTGTATTTTTGGTAGAGACAGGGTTTCGCTGTGGGCCCAGGCTGGTCTTGAACTGCTGAGCTCAAGCAATCTGCCGGCCTTGGCCTCCCAACGTGCTGGGACTACAGGTGTGAGACACTGTGCCTGGCCATAAGCTGTTTTTTCTTAGACTTATAAGGATCCCCACTGTGTGGGTCTAAATTTCTTTTTAGAAAACGTTTCTGGCTGGGTGCTGTGGCTCACATCTGTAATCCCATGGCTTTGGGAGGCCGAGGTAGACAGATCACTCAAGGCCGGAAGTTCGAGACCAGCCTGGCTAACATGTTGAAATGCCGCCTCTACTGTAAATGCAAAACTTAGCCAAGCGTGATGGTGCACACCTGTAATCCCTGTTACTCAGGAGGCTAAGGCATGAGTGTCGCTTGAACCTGGGACCTGGAGGTTGCAGAGAGCCAAGATGGCACCGCTGCACCCCAGCCTGGGCAACAGAGCAGAGCCAGACCCTGTCCCCCCCAAAAAAATCCCAAAAACGTTTCCTGCTTTGAGTGTTTGAAAACATGTTCAGGCATCCTGGGTAGTTGAGAATGAATTTCTTGGGACAATGAAACTATAGGCGCCCTGGGAACATTTGTGTTCTCTGATCCCTGCAGGTTGAAGACCTATGAAACTAATTTGGAAATCAAGAAGCTGTTGGAGGAAGTGAAAGAAAAGAATCCTAAGCTGACAATTGATTGCAATGCTTCCGGGGCAACGGCACCTGCGTGCTGTGACTTTTTTTGCTGAGCAGCCTGGGATCGCTCTACGAATTACACAGGAAGCGGGAATCTGGTCTCTAAGATATTTTGTGAATGAAGGTCAGAGGGTCACGTGTTAACACTAGAGTCTGTCAAGATGTCAAATTTGACACTGGTTTTCTTGCTGTTTGTGGGAGATTCTGCAGAAGTCACACACCCCCTTCACATCACACTACGCACCTTCTCACAGGGATAATAAAGTGAGCACTCTCGTTGCAGCTGCGTTTATTGACATGCTCAAGGGTAAACCTGCCATAAACATGCTACTCTGTGCTTAGTCTAGGAAGAAGTATTGCTGAGAAGTTCAGGGATGATTCTGTTGATTCTTCTATTTCTTTTCTTTAACTCAGGCACCCCTTGGTCTAGTTTACTGTCTGGTTGCATCTGTGTGATCAGTGTGTCTTTGTGACTTTGAGATCACATTCTAACCCACGCGTTGACAAACGGGCCAGATAGTTAATATGCTTGGCACTGTGGGCCCCGTGGTCTCCCATCAGCTCTCAGCTGTGCCTTTGTACACGGAAGCAGTGCAGATGATCTGTGCCAAGGGCCTGGCTCGCACCTGCGGAGGCTTCCCAGAAACAGCTTGAGGGCCACGGGCAGCCAACCCTGTTCTAATCCATCCTGTTACCCACGAAACAAGCTTACAGGCACTGTTGCCTTTAATTCAGAAGATGGCCTTGCCTCACACTGGCTCTGCCTGGCTCCGACGGGCCGGCTCCTACTTTCTGTGTGTGTGTGTGTGTGTGTGTGTGTGTCTCTCTCTGTTTCTCTATCTCTTTTTGTCTCTCTCTCTCTCTGTGTCTCTATCGCTGTTTCTGTGTGTGTCTCTGTCTCTTTGTGTGTCTCTGTGTGTCTGTCTCTGGGCGTTTCTGTATCTCTGTCTCTGTCTTTGTGTCTCTCTGGCTGTCTGTTTCTTTCTTTTTTTTTTTTTGAGACGGAGTTTCTCTCTGTTGCCCAGGCTGGAGTGCAGTGGCGTGATCTCGGCTCACTGCAACCTCTGCCTCCGGGGTTCAAGAGATTCTCCTGCCTCAGCCTCCCGAGTAG